TATATATATGTATGTATATATATATATATGTATGTATGTATGTATGTAAGAAATAAAAAACTATATAAAAAAATGATAATAATTATTAAATAACAAGTAAAATACTGACCGGAGAGAGCAATCATGTCTTCCTGAGAGAGTCCGAGGGCACCAAAAATGGCGTTTAGCTCGTCAAGATTATTGCTCGCCTGCGGCAATTTCCCATTCACGCTCGCCGATGTTGAGCTTAGCCCATCCAATCTGCCCAGCTCCACCTCATATAATGGCCCACCAGCCTTTTTAAAAAATAAAAATAAAAAATAGCATGACGGCCCATTAATTGGATTTCTTTTAAATAAATAAAATTAAGTTCCAACTTTCATATATCATTTTTAATATAAAAATTTTCATTTAATACTTGAAAAATATAATTAAAAATCGGATAAATTAATTCACATTTTTTATTCCTCCGCAGTGGCATTGTAAGCATCACCTTAAGACCTCTTCAGCATATGATGGCCATGACAGACTAAATGTATGAAAATAATATTAATTTATGTGATTTAAGCCCATAAATTCTGCTCACAATCCCATTCATTCAAGAAAAAAAGTCCTCAAACGGCTTCAATTTCCTTCATTTAATTGTTCAAATCAATTAAATAATTTTCAAATCCATATGACTTTCTATATACTATTACTTTTGCAATCTATGTTTTCAAACCAAATGGGAGCACCCGGTTCAAAGCTGGTTCTTCTTAGAACGTGTCAAAACTAACAATTGAATCGATGAATCAGTGAATCAACCCTATTTTTTAAAAACCAACTCGTTTTAATAATTATCAATTTGGGTCTTTCGGATAAATTGAGTTTTGACAGTTTTTTTTCAAAAATCTGCTGTTGAACCGTTTTTCCACAGGTCATGACTAGATGCGATGACAGCTTTCTAGCTACAGTCCAACTTTCTTAATAAACTGCAGCTATCTCAAACAAACCTAAGTCTAAGTTTAACAAAGCTTGACTGCCTATTATTTTCCTGAAGTTGCAACCTATTTCCTACTTTATTGTACTATTGTCAAAGTAGGTTCCTTGAATTAAACCATAATCGAAGCCTTTCAAAAAAAAAATTCAAACTTTCCTTCTGAATTACTAAAACAATAATTACTCCCCATCTTAAATTTATTGTAGCATTCAATGTGCTTAATCTCCCATCTTTTGATGTAGGACGGCACGATACATTTTCTATTAGCCGAATTTACAAATATCACCACATGAATTTTACTTATTTTATATGTTATTTAAGTGCAAAAAATACATTACAATAAATGCATAAAAATAATTTATTTTCCCCTTTAAAAAAACTAATATTAGTGATATTTTAGTGCAGCAATTACCAAATAAACAACATCCCTGGTGGCCATGACGAGGATATCCGCACAGGAAACCTTATTCCGGCACTCCGCCACCGCATCCACCGCCTCCTTCGCTCTTCTCACGGTATCGAACCCATCGCCGGCGATCGATAGGTTTTCCGGATGATCCCTCTCCGCCGTATTTTCCGGCGTCGAGGTTATCAGAATAGACCCATCACAACCCTATAATTGCACACAAAGACATCAAATTACATCGAAATTGCAAAGGGGGGATAAATCTAATATTCGATAAGTACCTGGACGAAACAATGATGGGCGAAGAGGCGCAGAGTGCCGGGGATGGTGACGGTGGTTTCCTTGAACTTGGCGGCGACGGCGGAGCGGACGATGGTTTCGACGTTGGGGCAGATGTCCGCATAATAATTCTGTTGAAGAGTTGGTGCGGAGAGGGAGAAGAGGAAGAAGGAGGAGAGGGAGAAGAAGAGAAGAGTGTTTTGATGCGTCGCCATTAATTGTGGTGAGGAGAATTGGAGGTGAAGAGGTGAGTTCTTCAATTTGTTGTGGGGATGAAGGAGGGGGGGAAATGTAATTTCATCTTTCAAGTTTTTTTGAAATAATGTAATAAATGAATAATTAATAAAATTAAATGGATATTTTTTTATATATTTATTGTTTCAAAAAATATATATGAACACAAAAAAATAATGTCGAATTGAATTATATTTGATAAAGATATTTGAGAAATAGAGTAATGAATGGGCTCCAATTGGGAATTATAAATTTGCCGGTTTGGATTTTTTACTTTTGAATTGGTTTTAGTATTTATTAAATAAATAAAAAAATTGAAAATTTGAATAATTCTAGGATTTGAAAATTAAATTAAAAAGAAAGTTTGGCTCATTAAAAATGTCAATGTTTGTGTTCAGTTCATTTATATTTAAATGTGTTCGTGTTTGACCTGTGTCCTTAGAGAGCAGAACACGAGCTTTTCACGAACAGAGAATTGTTTTGACAATTCTAGTCATACTACCATAGGATGTTACGGATTGAGGCGAGATTTACATCTTATAATTTATATTAAAACATCATTTAAAGATAATTTAATATATTTTATTTTATTTTAGTTTTTTTATTAATAATTTTAATTGTTTATGAATTTGTGTAGCCTTGTAGTCAATTAATTTTTTTTTAAAACTTTATCATTAATTTTATACATCATATATTATTTTTTAATATAAATACAATTAAACTGTTGAACGTTGCTGCTAAATTATTATAGGAATAACTTTGTTATATTAAACTTTCAAATATTAAACAAGTTAAGTATATTTACTTTTAAATTTATCCATATAATCAAATAACTTATTTCATTATTGGATATAATTGGTAACATGGTATCTGAATAGGGCTCTAGACGAGCCAAGTTTAAAAGAGCTCAGGCTTAGCTTGCGTTTGACTCGCTCGGAATTGCTCATGCTCAAAATCAACTTGCGTTTGAAATTGGCTTATGAACAGTGTGTTTGTGTTTGTCTCGATTTAAATATTGTTGTTCGTGTTTGACTCGTTAAAATTAATTGAAAAGAATAGTTGTAAGGTGTTGGATTCAAACCTTGAACAAATATATATGGGAAAAAATGTGAAAAGCCACATTGCCACACGAGTTGTTATGATTAAAATTTAGATATAAATGTACAGAATATATTATTATATAAATATTTATATGATTTTTTTTAGCTAAAAACACGAGTTATTCGCGAAGAACCAGCCCTATATCTGAAAGAAGATATAAATTTGGACCATCCAAATAAAATAATTTTAAAAATAATAGGCGAGCTATGTTAGATAATGAGTTATGAATGAAATTATATTATAGAATGAAATAAGCCAAAATATATATATATATATTTCTTCAGAAATATTGACTTGGCGATATGGGATTAAAGAGTGTTATTTAGCGAAGTAGTCGGAAGCTCTAGAGAAATGCCAAGTGGAATAAAAGCATGCGAAGCCAATCAAATTCTCCTACTCAATTATTATGTGTTTCATAAACTAACATCTAAATTTTCATATTTACATGTATAATACTCGAATCTTTAACTTAAATAAAAAATATCATTTTTCTTTACCTTTTTAAGAGTAAAATACCCATTTTTATGCATGAATTTAAGAGCAAGTGTTATAAATGTAAATATAAAAATCTGAGAGACAGATATGTAAATACAATAGAGTTGTGTGATATGTATGTCAATTTCGTTCTTTCTTTCTTTCTTTCTTTTCATTTTTTTTTTCAATATTGCATTATATTAAATATTATTATTGATGTATGCTAGAAAATTCGCGGCAGCAGAGTAATATATTATCGTCTTCGCATGATATAGAGATTCAATACACACACAGGTGAAAGAAACAATCAGTTGAGGTGCCAAAGTTTTTATCTGAAAAACCCAGAAAACGAAAAACCACAAGATCTAGCATAGCTGAAAAAATCTACTATAAACTTAGATTACAAGTACATTCCCGCATCCCATAGATGAGAAAAGATTAAATACTCTCCTGAGTTACAACGTTGACGTGCAGATGAACATGTTGCAAGGAATGGGAAGTGATCCTCGTTTTCTCAAAACGCTCGATTCAAGTATAAATTCGTCAGATTCGACATATATTTGACCTTCCAAACATGCTCATGAAGCTTCCAAATATGGTTTAATGTCTTGGTCGGAGCTTTATTTGGTTCGGATGGAATCAATTCATTGTGTTTTTCTCGTCGAGCACATCAATCTAATCGTAAATTAGCTGAAATCGAAAATCTGGATGACTTTTTATCAATGTTTGAATATTTATTGTTCAAAATGTTACCTCGAGATCCGTACTATGGCACGAGATTCTTGCCGTATGAAGGGATTTGTTGAGGGTGTATCAGTTATCTCCCTATTTTTCAAGCAGTACCAGCTTCGTCTCCGAAAATATTAAGGTTCGGAGAAATTTACATTTTAATGATAAACAAAGTCTACGGCTAGGAATGCAAATATACAAGAATTCAATTTTATATATATATATATATAACAGTAATCAATGTATGATAGTAAGTAGCTACAAACATATAACATTCATAACAATGCAATTAATAAAGAAAAAATATTTCAATCAGAATAAAGATTGAGCAAGTATCATTAACTGCAAATAGTTGAGATGCAAAAGAAAATAGCACCAACCTAGCACCAAGGTGGTATCTGGTGTAATACCTCTCAAGTCGGGGTTCGAATCCTCCTCACGGGACATGAATCTTAAAGAGGTTGGTACTCGAGAATTATTAGACACATTAGGAGTGATTTAAGGCTCGTGCGCGTGTGTGTGTATATATATAGCTGTAATGTTTTCTGTGTTACAAAATCATGTGACATGGGAATTCCAAGGGCCAAGGGAATTCGGCAGGCCAGAGAAGGAAAATTGGACCCGGATGCGAACAACGAGAATATGGAACAATGAACAATGATTTCTATATATATATATATATATATATATATATATTAATATATATATATATATATATATATTAATATAGATTTGGGAGATGGAACGCCGTAAGACAAAAACTGGAAGGCCAAATACCGGAAGACAGAATGATAAAAAAATTTATGACAGATTTATTTATTTATTTATTTCAAAGGTGGAAAGGCATAGGCTAGAAGGCATATGTCCAAATGATAAGAAAATGTATGCTGATTTCAGTTTTTTTTTAATTACTATTTTAATGGATTGCATAAATTTGCAGGCATAAATATTGGTGATTTTTTAGTTTATAAATAGGCAAAGAATATAAGGATAGAGGTGGACTCTGCCTAGCAGATTTAGCAGATGATACAAGATTTCCGTGAAGAAGAAAATCGTCCCCAACAAGTGCAGCAGGTGTTGCGGAACAAAAAAAAAAGTTGTCTTCGTCCTTTATAGCAGATGATCAACGGAGTCTTCTTCCTTGAAGAAGATGCAGAGGAAAGTCATTACAACCTGTGTAGCAGGCGATAAACAGAATCTTCTATCTTGAAAAAGGTGCAGAAGAAAGTCGTCTCCGTACTGCGCAGCAAGTGATCAACGGATCATTTTTCATGTTGTTGTGAAGGTGAAAGTCGTCTCCATCATGCATAGCAGACAAACAACAAAATCTTCTTTTATGTAGCTGTGAAGAATAAAGTTGTCCCCTTCCTGCATAACAGGTGAGCAACTGGATCTTCATTCGCGTTGTTGGGATGAAGAATGTTGTCCCCGTCCCTGCCCAGCAGATGACAATGGATCTTCAAGATTGTTGTTGTTGCGCATTCCGATGGAGATGAATAAATGCTGGAGTTTTTCCACCATGCTTTGAGGGGGAGATTTTCATGCTCCTATGGTGGCAATGTCTCTTGTAGCCTTTGTGTTAGTTCTTGTTGATCTTTATGCCTTTTTAATCATTTGATGAGGCATTTGTAGATGATGATAATGTGTTTCTTTGTACATATTTGAAGTTGATTTTGAGGTTATTGTGGCTTCTCAATCTTGCAAAATTCTACAATTAAAGTTAGCACACACAATTTATATAATAGAGAATCGTGTATCATTGAGGCTCGTGTCTTCTGAGGTTGTGCTCTCGGGGGCTCATGCCTCATATGAGTTTGAAATGAACTGATGCCTTCTAAGGGTTGTAGTTTTCTGAGATTTTTGATGTACATGTGTTTTCTAAAGCTTGTAGCCTTCTGAGGTATTTGATGTACCTGTATCTTCTGAGACTTGTAGCCTTCCAAGGTCTTTGAATAAAGACCCTGTCAACCATTTGTTCGCTTGTAGACTTTCTAGTGAGTACCCTATCCACTACTAGCTTCCATAGAAACTTATCTATTAAGCTTGTCGTCCATGGGCATGGTAGCTTTCCATCGAGTTTTGCCTCTTAAGCTCAACTTCCAGGGGTATTGTTTCATCTCATCGAGTCTTGCCTTTTGCACTCAACTTCTGGGGGCATGGTAGATTCTCATCGAGTTTTGACTCTTGGGCTCTACTTCAAGGGTGTTTGTATCATCTCATTGAGTCTTGTCTCTTAGGCTTGACCTTTAGAAGCATGGTAGCTTCCCATCATGTTTTGTCTCCTGGACTTGACTTCCAGGGATACTTTATCATTCCATCGAGTCTTGCCTCTCAGGCTCAACCTCTAGGGGCATGGTAGCTTCCCATCAAGTTTTTTTTTTTGCCTTGTGGGCTCGATTTCTAAGGATATCACATCATCCCATCGAGTCTTGCCACTTGGGCTTGACTTATAGGGATAAGAATGAAGACTGTGCTTTTTACACAAAAAAACTTTCGTGAGAGAATAAGAAAAATTCATTAAAATGACAGTTTAAGGCAACAAAAAAATTTTGCCAGAATAAAATTAAGAGTTTGTATGCCAATATTCTACTCAAATAACATAATTTAAAGTTATACTTCTTATTCAATAACTCTTAAGATTTTCTTCATGATCTCATCACCTCATTCTTGTAAGTAGTGACCCAAGTGACTTTGATGTATCAGACGTTCAATTTCTTCCTTTAATTT